CAAAATAAAAAATCAAATTCCCTTCTCTGACTTTTAAAATTGTACATAATACCTAAGGAAAAAACTGGAAACATTCACCATGCTCATGTATAATAATAAGTCAGAGAAAGCCAAAAATAGTCAACTCTGACTTCAACAAATTACATTCGTAATGTAAAGGAAATAAAAATGTAAGTTTTTCAAGAGACCTGGCTTCAATTCGTAACTCTGCCTCTTGTTATGTATATGAACTGTATATGTATATGAACTATAGCCTCCATCTCTTGGTAGAGTTGTTCAAGATTAAAGGAAATAGTGAGAAAGTAATCTCAAGCAAAGATAAAGCACATCAGCAAAGTACTGATTAATATTATCTCTAATATCTGCACAGACTGAAATACTTTACAATACGTAAAACAGCTCACAATATTTGATTTTTTCAAAGCCAGCTCTAGACAAATAGAAAGTATAGTATACCTTTTAGTAGTCTCCTAATCTTCCTTTCTTTAAATCCGATTCCCACTTCTACTGTTCCTCAAAATAATAAAAATATTAACACTCTAAATAAGGTGTTAATAAGAACCTTAACTTAAAAGAGTAAATGACTGCAGTCCAGCCTAGTCCAGAGCTTGTCTCTTCATGGTGTATGACCCCAAAAGGAAACACAAAAGGTTATTACATGGGAGGTACCTCATCCATATGCCCAGAAAATTATAAACATGACTGCAAAAGAAAGTAAGGTAAGTTTATCCCAGGGGAAAGTGCAAATTCATAGAAGCTAGTACTTCTTAGAAACAAACTATGAAGGAATCAATGCTTAACAACATTAAAAACCACCCCCGCAAGGGTGGTCATATGTGGAAGAAAGTAATCAATTTGTTGGGGAAAATACATACAACAAAGACAACTGTACACTTAAGGAACTTCTACTCTAATCTTCCTCTTACTTATTCAATCATTCAACATTTAATGAAATCATCGAAGAAATACAGGTAGTGAAAAAAATACTGCAGAATAACGTATATACTACACTACCTTTCGTGTAAAATATAAGAAAAGATACACACATACCCGCGTGAGCACACACAGGAAGGATAAATCAAAAATGAATAGCAATACTTACCTATGGGAAGATATATTTTCCTCACAATTACCTACAATACAACTAACATATAATATACATAGTCTTAAAAACCAAATTTGATATGTAAAAACATATCTGTGAATAAAGTATTTTTTAACAATAAAAACCACACATCACATCACACTAAAAATGGAAATTTTTACTGAGTGCCCAAAAATGCCCCCTCTCAATACTCATTCAGATAAACGCATTGTAACCACATGACCATTAAAAGAACAGAGAACAAAAAATAACCATCAAATGTAATAAAAAAAAATATCCTTTGGCTCTTTCCATGTAATTAGTTTTCTCAGAACATATTTTAGAACTAGTATTCCATGAAAAACTTTGTGAAATTCTTTTAAATCATTAACAAAATATTGGAGGGCTGGGAAGACATGGTAAAAACAAACTTCTAAAAATATACAGAATGAACTACTGATACACACACACACAAAAGAATGAAACTCAAAAACATTACGCAGAATGAAAGACGAAAAAGAAACGGCAAAAGAGTACATATGACTGCATGATTCCATTTACATGAAGTTCAAGGACAGGCAAAATTAATCAAAGATGTAAAAAGATCAGATCAGTGGCTGCCTCCGGGCAGTGGGATTAGGGATTGACTAGGAAGGGGCACGAGGGAATTTTCTGAGTAATGTTGATAGACACTTAGGCTACACAAATGGAATGGTAAACTTAAAAATACATGCGTTTCATTACTCAAAAATTTTACCTCAAAGACAAAAAACTAAACTGAACTCAAGTTAACGATGTACATGAAGAGGTTAAGGGAAACAGAACGCAATGAAAGATGGACACTGGATGAAGAGTGGGGGACGTCTTGATAAACAAGTGTTCTGAACACTGGCACTGGCAGCTGGAGGAGGGTATGGGCTGCTCACTGTGTAAACCTCTCAGGTACTCTGTGTGCTTGGAAATTTTCACAATAAAACATCAGAAAAAAATAGAGATAACTTTGCTGGAAGTTGTAACTGAAAAAACATATTAATGACATATAAAGTCATTCTTTATATTCTTTAATGTTTCTCCCTCTTTTTCCAACGTATTTTCAAGAGGACACTTCCCAATTCATTCTACAAAGAGAAAAGAAACAACTTTCTAAAGTAGTATTTTTCCACCTTGATGACTTGTAAATAGTGGGCCTAGCAAATATCACCAGTGGGTCTCAACCAGAGCTTTTAAAAATATAAAGGCTCAGGAATATACCCCCAACATTCAAATTCATCAGGTTCAGGGTGGGAACAGCCATCCTTTTTTTTTTTTTTAAGTCTCAATGGTGACTATGACACACAAAATCAAGAATAACTGAATGTGAGTCTTGTTGAATTTTCATAACTACCATATTTTTACACAAATAACACGCCCCTTCTATGTCTGTTTGCCAACCAGCCCTCCCCCGTGAAGTATTTCTGTAAGAGCACTATGCCAATTTTATTTTTTACACCAATACGTTAAAAAAAAAAAAAATCAGCATAACGGCGCTTATGAAAATACCTCTTGGGGGGAGGGCGCAGTTGTCAAATAAACGTACAGAGTGTGCATAATTTGCATAAAAATATGGTACATGCCTAACACGCTGTGATGAAACGAGTTTATGTGGCCTTTTGCCTTGATTCTCTGGAAAAACAGCTTGAAAGACTTCCACTAAGGCCTGAGAAGTTTTACCTTTGCTCTAGTTTTCTACCCTAGATTTTCTTACTTTTGTCCGGGTTGATTGACATTTCCTGGGTAAGCTGAAAACAACTTGATGGTTTGATACTTTTTGTCTAGCCATGGGCTGCAGTCTGCCCCATGATTGGTCTATTTTATGCACCTTGCTGGGACTGGTCCGTTTACTATGCAAATTGAGTGACCTGCAGTCCACCGAGGGGATTGGTCAGTTCATGGTCCTCCTGAGAGGACCATGTCTTGCAAATGACAAGGAGTCTGCTTATACAAGCAGCCAACCTCACAAAAGGTTTTTTAGAGGTAAGACAAAGCAGAGAGAGAGGAGGGTAAGGTACCTCCTGAAAGGGCTGTAACATGGGTCACGGGCTCTAACACTGAAGACCGCGAGGAGCCCAGAAAGGACCCTGCAGCAGAGCCATTGGCAACGGGCGCAGAAGGGGCCCTGTGGCAGAGTTGGCAACAAGCGGCCTGGAAGGGACCATGTGGCAGAGTCAGTGGTGACAGGCCCAGAAGGGACCTTGTGGCAGAGTCAGCAGTGATGGCAGAAAGCTGCCGTTAGGAAAGCAGCTAGGAGAGCTAAGCAAGCTGCTACACTGGCTATGAGCTGGGCCAGTTAGTAGTGGAGAGTCCAAAAACATTGTTGGGGATGAGCTGGCTTGCCTTTGGCAGTGGTAGATGCTCTGGCTGTGCTGAGAGCTGTAACGCTAAAACCGAGACGGGGGCAGGCCTGAGGGCCAAAAGAAGGCCTGTCCTGAGGGGGCTGTGGGGGGGCATGCAGTGTCAAGAGGAAGGCCTGCCTGCTTGCATGGCCAAGAGGAGCTGAGAGAGCTGTCCTTTACTGAAGAAAGGAGAGATATGTTCTCCACTTTGGAAGAACCTTCCAGACTTTGCCTCTGTGCTTCCTGATCCTGACCTCGAGTTGTTCCTGTTACTTCCAAGTTGATCATGATCCTAAGTTGTAGCCTGTTACTTCTCTAATATCATGGATCAACTTGGCTAGTCCATGATTCCCAGTATTTAGTGTGACTGTCCATCATTTTGTCATCTCATGTGATTTTCCTAGGTGTTGTAAATCCTACCTCTATGATGTTAATCAGGTGGGATTAGTGGCAGTTATGGTAATGAGCCAGGACTCAATCTACAAGGTTGTGTCTTAAGTCAATCTCCTTTGAGATATAAAAGAGAGAAGCAAGAAGAGATATGGGGGCCTCCTACCACCAAGAATGAAGAACCAAGAAGAGAGCCTGTCCTTTGGACCCAAAGTCCACCCTCTGAGACGCATCTAAGACAAGGGAAAATTGATGACAAGGACCTTTCCCCAAAGCCAAAAGAGACAGAAAGTCTTCCCCTGGAGCTGGCACCGTGAATTTGGACTTTCAGCCTCCTAAAGTGTGAGAGAATAAACCTGTTTGTTAAAGCCATCTACTTGTGGTATTTCTGTTATAGCAGCACTAGATGACTAAGAACCCTAATAAACAACATAACCATGAGCATGGTCTGTGAGTTCTGTGTGGCCACTGCAACGAATTATCGAACCCAGCAGATAAGTAGAGAGCGCCGTGTAGGCAATGGCTGGTGTCAGAAATGGTGAAAAGGTTGAACAATGGAGGTATGTCTGACCTCCACCTTATAGGAGCTAGCTTTTGCGCCGGTCTTGGTTCTTACCCCTCGGGAAGTTAGATAATTTCTGATACCGCGACATACACACTCACTGATAATTCCTTGTGTAGAGGATAAGAAACAACAAAATAAGGGACCAAGTCAAGTACACAGGCCAAAGCCTTCCAAAAAGTGTTTTATACACTTCCAAAGGAGGAGAAATTTCAGGAATAATTATTTCCACTCCATCTTATTATAATAATCAATATTTATTAGTTAGGCAAGGCAAGACATATTTCAAAACTTCAAAGAAAAACTATTAACTGCAGGTTCTATAAGCTTCAAATGAAATATCAGAAGAAGGACACTAAAATCACAGCACAGTGGTTTTGCAATGAAAATGCCTTCAATTTACATAGAACAATTAAATCCAATCAGTTCATAATATTAATTTTCATTTTAGACAGCAATCACCAAAGTGAAAAACAAAACTTCAAAAAAGTTATACTCAAACATTCCTGTTTCTATAGAACATTCCAAATTTTTTATAAATGCAATTCACAAAGGTCTTTGAAGATGAAAAACACTAGCTAAATGCTCTTACCTTTTCTAGGAAGGAAGTCTCCATTCGGTGTTGACTCTGTTCCAGTATACACAATTTCTCCATCTTTAACCATTTCATTCCACAGACCACAGAGTCCATCTCTTGTGAATGCAAGCTAGCAATAATAAACAAAGTTACAAAATAATCACGTTTGTATTACAATTCTTAGAGAATTATATCTTTAAAAATCTCATTTGTCTTCCTATTTATTCAATCATTCAACATTTAATGAAAATCATCTAAGAAATATAGATAAGTGAAAAGGGCACAGTGCAGAACAGTGCATATACTATGCTAACTTTTGTGTAAGACATAAGAAAACAGATACACATACAAAGGATAAACCAAAAATAAATAGCAATGCTTACCTATGGGGAGACGGAGGAGGAAATGGACAAAAGGCAGTAGAGAAGAATGAAAGCAAGACTTTGAGTATACCTTACAGATTTTTATTTCTAAAATGTATAAATGGCTTTCATCTTCAAAAATTATTTTAAAAATTTTTTAATCTACAACTGGAAACAAGCAAGTTAACCTATGTGTATCAAAGGCGAAAATATTTCAAGAGACTTTTGAACTGCAGATCATTAGTAGGATATACCCTAAGGGAAAAAAAATCTTATTTACTCATTGGTCCTACTGATAATCATAATATTGGTATTATTATTTTAAAACTATTTTATGTATGCTCTATGAGAAAGCAAGTAAGTTTAAGTTAACATTACTAGAAACTAAGGTTTTAAGTATGTAAGTGATAAAATCAAGGAAACTTCTAAAAGTAATTTGAATTGGAAATATCAATATGAACTTTTTATTTTTGAATATATTTGCTTGCTCTGTCTTTGGGAAGTACCTAGAATCAATGACACTCTAATAACAATGTGCATACCTATCATCCAGTTACTGGTTTCTAAGCACCATTTCCCACTAAAGGGAACCAGGACTCTTTGAAAAAAAGGCAGATTCCAAGGCTAGGGCAGACAAGGGAAGCCTGGAATATCTTGTGCTTGCTCAAAAAAAAACTGCTCAAAGACTAATGAGGACTCCTCCTGGTCAAATTTAGAACATTTTTTCCCCCATACAAAAATTTATACATACGTTGTTATGTGACTCTAATTGTTCTCCCCATGTTGTGACAGAACACTCCTCCTTTCCACCCGATTCCCCACATCCACTCAACCAGCTCCTAACCCTCTCTACCTTCCCATCTTACCTCCAGACACAAGCTGCCCATTTAGTCTCTTGTATCTACTTGAGCTAAGAGGCACACTCATCACTAGTATCACTTTATGTCCCACTGTCCAGTCCAATCCCTGTCTGAAGAGTTGGCCTCGGAAACTGTTTTAGTTCTGTGCTGATAAGAGAATCCGGGGGCTATGCTTTCCAGGGTTCCTCCAGTCTCAGTCAGGCCATTAAGTCTGGTCTTCTTACTAGAATTCGAGTTCTGCACCTCACCTTTCTCCTGTTCCATCCGGGACTCTCTGCTGTGTTCCCCATTAGGGCAATCACTGTTGGTAGCCGAGCACCATCTAGTTCTTCTGGTCTCAGGCTGATGAAGTCTCTGATGTATATGGCCTTTTCTGTCTCTTGGGCTAATACTTTCTTTGTGTCTTTGGTGTTCTTCATTCTCCTTTACTCCAAGTGGTTGGGACAAACTGGTGCATCTTAGATGGCCACTTGCGAGCTTTCAAGACCCCAGACGCCACTCACCAAAGTAGGATGCAGAACATTTTCTTAATAAGCTTTGTTATGCCAACTGACCTAGATGTCCCCGGAAAGCACGGTCCCCAGACCCCCACCCTTACTACTCTGTCCCTCAAAGTGTTTGATTGTATTCAGGAAACTTCTTAGCTTTGGTTTAGTCCAGTTGTGCTGACTTCTGCTGTAGTGTGTGTTGTCCTCCCTTCACCTACGATGATTCTTATCTACTATCTAGAACTATCTAGGACACTTTTGAGCATCAAAGTGAATAACAACTATAACCGATTATGAAAGAAACAACAAAAAAAAAAACATCAGCCCATAGTGACAGTCAAAGGAAAAAAATAAGAAAACCCTTGCTTGTCAATATTTGTAAGTCAGAAAAGGCTTCCCAGAGCAAGCAGCCAGCCCAGACTGGAAAGGGGGAACTGTAGACACCAGGAAAAGGTATCTGTTCTGAAAACAGCAGATACAATTGAAGCCTTCCTAATAAACACAAAAGACATTTGAAATTAAAATGGATGCCTCTCTTTGCCCATCTTTTAACAGAAGGCCAGGGTCTTTCTTTGTGCACAAGTCCACTGATTTGTTCCTGTCATCATCTTAGCATAAACCACCCTCCTAAGGCACTCACTAATTTCCAGTTCCAGTTTTTTTTAATGGAGCAAGAATTCAAAGACAATTTGTGCAGCAATTTCAGTATAACTCTTCTAGGATTTTATGACTTTTTCCCCTATCTTTCACAGTTCTCTCCCACCTAATTTGCAAGGAACTTTTCAGCATCTCATTTTCATCCAAAGCATCTATAGTAGGCAAAATTCTAAGATGTCTCCCAAGATTTTGGCCCCCTGGTGTACCCACTCCATATAATCTCCTCTCCCTGTCTGTGTGGGTCCTATGAATATAATAGGTGTCATCTGTGATTAGGTTTTGTTTTATTATATGCTAACAGTGAAGAGATTCTGCATATATGATTAAGATCCCAAATCAGTTGGTCTTTTGTCAACCAAAAGGGACATTATCCTGGGTGAGTCTGACCTAATCAGGTGAATGCCCTTAAAAGGGAGGTGTCGTGGATTAACTGTGTCTCCCCAAAATGTGTGTCAATTTGGCTAAGCCCTGATTTCCAGTATTGTGTGGAGGTCCTCCATTTTATGATCTGTTGTAATTATCCTATGTGTTATAAATCCTAACTTCTATGATGTTAATGAGGCAGGATTAGAGGCAGCTACGTTAATGAGGCAGGACATGATCTACAGAAATAGGTTCTATCTTGAGTCAATCTCTTTTGAGATATAAAAGAGAGAAGCCAGCAAAGAGAGACGGTCATCCTACCACCAAGAAAGACAATAGGGAAGCAGAGCAAGTCTTTGGACCCAGGCTCCCTGCCCTGAGAAGCTCCTAGACCAGGGGAAGATTGATGACAAGGACCTTCGCCCAGAGCTGGCAAAGAGAGAAACCATTCCCCCGGACCTGGCACCCTGAATTTGGACTTCTAGAATCCTAGACTGTGAAAGAATAAATTTCTCTTTGTTAAAGCCATCCACTTGCAGTATTTCTGTTACAGCAGCACTAGATAACTAAGACAGGGGGCTGGGCCATCCAGAAGAGATGCTCCCCTGCAGGCCCTGAAAAAGCAAGCAGCCATGTTATAAACTACCTACATAGAGGAGCAGTCTCTTAACGCTGAGAGCTGCGGTCCTACAACCACAAGGAACTAAATTCTGCCAATGAGGACCCCGTGCTCCAGGTAAGAATGCAGCCTGGCTGATACCTTCACTGCAACCTTGTGAGACCCTAAGCAGAGAAATGAGCTAAGCCGAGGCCAGATTCTTAACCCACAGAAACTGTGAGACAATAAATGCGTGCTGTTTTAAGCTGCTAAATTTGTCATTAGTGACTTCTTACACAGCAAAACTAATACAGCATCCAACTTCGTTCTCATAGAAGCAACAATTTTCTTCAGCACTTAAATTTTATCTGTTCATATCACTAACAAGATAACTGGACTAAACATATGTGGGACCAAAACATGAGTCTTCACTAAAAGTATCAACTGACAGGAGGAGAAGTAAAAACTTTTCTAAAAAATGAGCCATAAGCAGTCATTATTTGAATGAAGGAATGGAAAAGATGGCTTCTCCAGGGTTCAGTGCAATCCCCACTCAGCGAATACAGAAGGCAAACAGCAGCTGGGCCAAAGAGCTCCATAGCTGCATTCTGTGCTACCGAAGTTACATGCTATCCTTAGGCACTCAAGGGAATCCATGATCTTTGTCATGGAGTAATGACTCAGTCTATCAATGTCACAGATGGAGAGAATGGAAGAACTACAAACAGAGTAAGTGAATTAGGAGGCCACTGCCAAGAGTTCAAAAACAAAGGGAGAGAGCCTAAGCTAGGACAGGGAAAAATGATTATATATTTGTGATCCGGTACGACAGATTGGGGGGGGGGGCGGGGGACAAAACAGAAATGAGAGAAAATTAGCTCAGTTTTAATCACTGAGATTTGCACTAACTACCAAACATAAATCTGGAGATCCTCTCTCGCACACACACAAAAGTTGAAAATACAAATACAGGTATTGGCAGAGTATTCAGGACTACAGATTTAAATCTAGACATCATCCATCAGTAAATGGACTGCAGACAATGGAATGGCCTGAAGATGTGAACACCTAAGGAGAGACGGTGGACCAACATCCTCAACCCCAACACCCGGTGGGAGTCTTAGGCTAGGTTCTCTAGAGAAGCAAAACCAGTAAAGTGTACAAATATATACAGAAGGAGATTTATATCAAAAAAACAACTCACACGATTGTAGAGGCTGGAATGTCCCAAGTCTGTGGATTAGGATAGAGACTTCTCCCAATTCACATAGCCACAGGGGCTGGTGAACCCCAGATAGGCAACTTGGATAGCAGGGCTCTTGTTCACAGGCTGTGAATATCGACAAATCCCAAGACTAGCAGGCAAGACCGCAAGGCAACTCCTGATTCATGTAGCTGCAGGGGCTGACGAGCCCAAGATCGGCAGGTCAGGGAGCAGGCTCCACTCACAGATTGTGAAGATCCACGAATCCCAAGATCAGCAGATAAGCTGACAGCTCAAGTCCCGGATGTCAGATGAACAGGAGGCAGCCGCAGGATCCAGAGTGAGCAAAGAGCCAGAAAGTCTGCTTATATTCGGATGCAAGCTACACCCCCAAGGAAACTCCCTTTCAACTGAATGGCTACTCACAGCAGATTCAATCATGGGAGTGATCACATATAAACACCGAGAATCATGACCCAGCCAAGTTGACACATAATCTTAACCATCACAGTCCACCCCTTGTCAACTTGGCACCTATATACATCTCCTTAAACCATACACAATCTCTGAATAAAGACAATTACAAAGTCATACTTGC